TATATATATATATATATATATATATATATATATATATATATATATATATATATTTCGATTGTAAAATGGAATTCTTGTACAGAAAAATTTTTTATTTAATAATTTAATAATTGTACATGGGAAAATTTACTCTTCTTTCGGTTTGACCGAATATTACAAAAGTACATTTTCTTTTATCAGTCGAAAAACTTAATTAATTTCTTGAAATATTTTGCAATAAAAAACACTTCGTTCATCAATCACACATTATATTCATATAATCTTTACGTATTATATTAATAAAAGATTATTTGTAATAGGTAAAAATTGAGCTTTGAAGCGAAATTACTTTATAAAGTAATAATTGTAATTATCATATATGTAGATTCTAAATGCAGTTATACGTTTTAAGGCACAACAGAGAGTTCGTACAATATTTACATCAATAGAAATATGTTAAAAATGCGTCACAATGGAAATACTGCATAAATTGATTAAAGAAAAAAAGTATTAAGTCGTATCATTTAAAATAACTTCATAATCTCAAAATATTTTCCTGCATAATCTCAAAATCTCGGTAAAAAAAAGTGAATTCAAATATGCATTGTTATTTTAATTGACTAGTTAACGAAAATGGAACATATGTTTATGTATATATACATATAATTAAACATTAGACGCTTAGGCTTTAAAAGTTACGACAATAAAAGGCGAAGGAATTAATGTCGTTTGGGTCCCACATTATCCCAGTTATTGATAGCTTTCATATTCACTTTCTCAATTCTCCATTTTTGCGTAGGTGAAGATGGATCACATTTTGTTACAAAGACTTTTTTGCTTGCTGGATCTGTGTCCAGGCATCTTGACGAATAACCGTGCATCAGCCATTGTTTTTCAACATTGTAACGCCATAATTGATTCCCTTGCCCACCATGACAAGGATATAAACTGACTGAAGCTTTTGCACCTCCTTTAGAGACATCCAAACATTCTGTACGATCTTTCGGTCTAATATCTTTATGCCAAGTTAATTTAAATTCTTGTTCTCCTACAATATTTGGATTATCTTTTATGCAGATATCAACTACAACAAGTTCATCTTTTTTTCGTTTCTTTGAATCTAGACATAATTCTGGCACACCCATGTTACGAATTTCTCCAGATGCAAAATCATCAGGCTCAATAGGAGGATATACGTCGACAAGATCGAAAGCTATATTTTCCATAAACCATTTAAATGGTTTACAATGTAATTTAGCTCTCAAATCTCTTTGTGATTTCAAGTTTCCAGGATCTAATGATCTTAAATGCGGACGTCTTCTATATATATATTCTGCATATTCATCCATCCATACTTCTGCTACTCTCTTATAATTTTTTCCCAAAAAATCTCCTTTGCCTGGATTAGGGAAAGGTGGGAACTTACGATAAATGTGACCTACTCTTGAACAAGGAGCATCATACATTTGACCTCCACATTGCCAAATTTTGAATGATAATTCATACTGTTCACCTCCCCATATATCTAATTCTGGATCATATCCACCTAATTCCCAAAAAAATTTAGCACTAATGGCAAATAAACCACCTGCCATGATTGGACTTTTAAATGGTTCTGTTGGATTTTGAAGATCTTCAGGTAACAATGGCAATCGTTTGTAATACAATTCCCAATCAAAAGCTCCCCTTGCCCCCTCATCTTGAGCTCTATATTCAAATGTTTCATAAGCTATCACATCAATAAAAGGACATACACAAGTTTTATAATCTTGTGCAATGGGTTCTAATAGAGGTGGCAACCAATTGATATTTGCTTCGCTATGAGAATCTAAGAATACAAGTACTTTTGCTTTTGCAATTTTTGCTCCAGCTAATCGACCCTTAATTAAACCAGAACGTTGCTTTAATCTTACAATTTTCACTTTTGGCAAGTGAGTGGCAACATAATCATCTAAAGTTTTTTTCAATCCTACTTTAGTGCTAGCATCATCAACCAATATTATTTCTTGAAGAAGAGATGCTGGTGAACGATTAACAACACTCCAACAAGTACGCATTAAAGTGCTAAAGTGTTCATTATGAAAGGAAACTATCACCGAAACTGAATCAAGATTTCTTAAATATTTTTTATCTTTACAGCCTGGATGCCTAATGTCAGGTACTGAGCGATTCACTGAGATTTCATCACTGAGTGCAGCATTAAAACCATTTACCTGATATAACTTTTCCTTTAATGCATCAAGAGATGGTGAAAGAAATGCTGGTTTTCCATGTTCACCTTTTCCAATTCTTCTTGCTTCTTCTTCAATTTTCATATAATCATGCCAATCTATCTTTTCATCAATATCCTGTTAAAAATTACATTTTATTCGTTAAACGTTATGTTATGACACTATTTTTATTTTTAAGATAAAAAACAATAAATTTAAAGTTTAAATTAATTAATATCGTTTGCATCGGGGTTCACGAAAACAACTATACGATACTGCATGGAATGCAGAAGGTTAGCTATTGCTAAACCTGTTTCACTTGCTTCAACCTCGTTAATAATGAGTAGGTCTTTAACCCGTACCTGATAATGATTGTTGAAATTCTGATTATTATACATTGCCAAATTTTTCGAACTGCTACTATCCAAGGCTACCAATGCAACTGGTGTCATGATTTCATGGTTAGGTGTTGCTCGTACATAGCGAAACACAACGACGGTTAGAAAAACAGTAAAAACCGCCATAAGGAAGAACTTTATCAGACTCACAACATTTCTTCTCATCATCATGATACATTCATGTCGCGCGATGACACTTGCGAAAACACGCTATAGCCACCGGCTTAGCGAACTATCTACATGAAACTAACCTCATGTGTATATAATTAATATATCTTATCAGCTGCTATCTTTGATATAAAGTCTTTGATAAATTGTAACGATAAAACACATGGAACAGACACGGTTGTCACGCGTCGACTGAGAATCGATCCTCCGAGATCGAAATAATTTCTAATAACTGAATACATTCAAATGTTAAAAACTGTATCTTCCAGTAGATTGCACTCTAGTAGCTTTCACATCACATTCTTGATATTATATTATATATTATATTTTTCTAATATTATTTTTATTTTTTATTTATTTTATCATTTCCTATTGCTCTTTTTATGAAAAACGTATTGTTATCGTTATTGTTTAAACTTTAAATGATATTTAAATTAATAAATGTATTGATGTTTTAAAAAATATTTGCATTTTCATAAAACAATTTAAACGAATGAAACTGTGATATTATATAAAACTTTAATTATTCAATTTTGTAAGTTTTTAATAATTTTATAAATGTGTAAAATATAAAGTGAAATGAAAATTCTTTCTAATTTTTAGCTGCTCAGGGAGCAGGTACAATCTATATACTTTCAACGATATCAACAAGTAGTATTGAGGAAGTAGCTGAAGCTGCGCCAAACGCAATAAAATGGTTCCAATTATATATATATAAAGACCGTAATGTTACTATAAATTTAGTAGGACGAGCAGAACGCGCTGGTTTTAAAGCTGTCGTTCTTACTGTCGATGCACCACTTTTTGGTGATAGACGAGCTGACATTAGGAACAAATTTTCTCTCCCAAATCATTTGAGGTATTTGTTATGTCATATAATAAGATTTTAACTCATGAAAAAAATAATAATTAAAAATAACGATATTATTATTTTACTTAAAAACATTAATAAAATATTAAAATAATTTAAATATTATTTTTCAGATTAGGAAACTTTCAGGGAGAATTATCGACTAAAATAAATAATGCAGAATCTGGTTCCGGTTTGAGTGAATACGTTATGAATCTGTTTGATGCCTCCTTAACGTGGGACGATATTAAATGGCTTAAAAGGTTAATAAAAAATTTTGTGATTTAGATTTATGAATATTGAAAAAAAGTAATCTTATCTTTTTTACAGTATTACAAAGTTACCAATTGTTTTGAAGGGAATTCTTACTCCACAAGATGCAGAATTAGCTATTAAAAATGGAGTATCAGCGATTATTGTTTCGAATCATGGTGCTAGACAAGTTGATTGTATTCCAGCAACGGTTTGTTTTATTTTTTTTTTTTTTACAGATTATATGATATAACAATATGAAAAAATTTAATTTTAAATAAAAAAATTTTTAGTAAAAACAATGTATGATTCATAGATTGAAGCATTACCAGAAATAGTGAAAGCTGTAAATGGTAAATTAGAGATCTATATGGACGGAGGTATAAGGCAAGGTATCGATGTTTTCAAGGCACTTGCTTTAGGTGCTAAAATGGTAATTGTATATCAAATTTTAATAGTTTTATTTTTAATATAAATAAATTTTTCAATTTCTCAATTAATATTTTTATGTTTTATAAATAGGTATTTACTGCCAGACCCTTGTTATGGGGTCTATCTTATGGCGGTGAGCGCGGTGCGAGAGCAGTTCTTGAAATTTTTAGAAAAGAAATTGATGTTGCATTTGCATTAACAGGTAAAATTGAAACATTGTTATGAAATTTCGATACTATTACAATAGTTTTAAATGTTTAAAAATCAATTTGCAGGTTGTGCAACCGTTAGTGATGTTACAAAAGATATGGTACAACATGAATCTCATTATAGTCATTTGTAAAAAATATAATGTAAAATTAATTTAATCATATAAGTTATTCAGAATAAGTATTCATAAGTATAAAATCAAAAACCGTTTCGATGAATGTAATTTTTAAGATTATTTAAAAATGATAGATCTAAAATCATTTTAAGTTCTTAAAAGTGTAACTTTAAGAATATTTTAAAGATACTCCAATATTTATTTTACACTTTCTCTAATAACTGATATATTTTATATTTACGTTGATTGATTTCTTTTTTTAAATTGAACAATGTATAAAAAAAAAAAGATATAAAGATGATTAATATAATATGAAAGAAATATAAATAAATCGGTGAATAAAATATTCGAAAATATTTCATCACAATATTGGCATTTTATTGAATATTTCTTGTATATTCATCTTTGTATACATATTATGCGTGTGTGCGGCGCATATATCACAATTCACAAAGCATACGTACGCGCACACGCATCCAAAGTTGATCCGCGGCTTCTTTGCAAACGGAACAAGATTGACTATTTGACGTCGATATTACATATATAACGCACGAGACATGCAACAGAGTACTTGCATCGTTCTTTGTTCAATTCGCAAAATATTATTCTTTTATTGTATCTCTTTTTTTTTAATCCACATCATATTGGGGGGGGGGGGTGGGAATTCTCTTGACAAAAAATAAATCCCTCTCTATCTTTCCGGTATGTATATCCTATCTCGATTTAGTAACTCTGGTGCCATCATTACAGTCATAATTCTTTTTTTTTTTTTCTGTTTGTTACTCACAGCTTTACAAGGTTACAATTAATTGTTATTCGCTTATTTATATTTATATTTATATGTATATATATATATATAGATATATATAGATATATATATATATATATGTATATATGTATAGTGGCCTCGTTCGCGCTATAGGTTTTTCTGTTTGCTGAGTATGCACGCTGCGACGCTAAATTTTTATATTTTATATGTTAATATGTATACGCAATGTACACGTATGTAATAGTATATACACACGCTTTCTATCTGTGTACTGTATATATATACGTTATATACATGCATACACACGAATATTCGCCTTACTTCACCGTTTTGTTTTTACACGTGGTATCTTCAAACAAAGGGGACACGTTTGCCATTACTTTTAAAACGGAACGTTTCTTTAATAAAACGACAACAGTTATATAAAAATATTATAACAATGTTTAGTAATTATTGTTACCTTTATGATAATTATTATCTAATATAAAAACAATATCTTTTCAAAATGGCAAAACTAGAATAGAAAGAATAATTTGTCGACTCTCTTAGTACATTTGCCTCAATGTGTTATATCCCACATATTTATCAAGGTTTGCGTTATTCGAACTTTTAAGAGCAAGATTTATTTTTCAAAAAATTAACCCAACGCAGACGTGTTCCCTCAATCTTTGTCTCGTTATATTTTTCAATAGTATTAATCCCTCATATATAATATACAGTTGACTAAGTATATACGATTATGATAGACACATAGTGTTCGTGGATTTTTTAGCGGTTAATTTTAATTGCTCGTGAGAATCTCATGAGAAATGATTGTTTGAATTATCGAATGGCGTCTCGGGATCCAGACGCGGGGAGAAATTTTCGCGATAAAGTGACGATTTAGGCGATAATATTTATTAGTAAGTTAGTGTAAAATTTATTGGTCCAGAGAGTTGTGTGTATTTCGAGAGGGCCTTTGTCTTCCCTATCATTTGGATTATTGATTTCGCGATTTCTTTGCTCGATCGATTTTTTTTCCTCGAATAAAGAATCAAAACTGTTTAAAATATCTTTTGGATCAAGTTTCGATATGTTTTTTTCCGTCTGATATTTTCTTTCGAGTTTTTTTGAATTTTGACTATCAAAAACAGACGGACGATATACAATTTCTATTTTTTTTCTCCCTTTTTTTTTTTGATAATCGAATTTGATTATGTAATTATTCTAACGCGGTTGATTCTCTTCGGCCTCTCGATGCAAAAATTCGGTGATCAAAGAACAATAGTGTCGGTCGATGTTTTAAGTTTAAATGATATTATTTTCATTTTTATCTCAATTAGGTTAATAGTTAGGTATGTAATATTCGAAAATGATAACTGGAATCGTGATGTATCTTCGATCGATTTCGAAAGAAATGCTTTTCTGAAGAGAAATCGAAAATATGAATGGCTCTTTGATGTGACGAAGCGCATCAGTGTAAAAATGTTTTTAGAATATATTTTGCATAAAGAAAATTCGAGTCTTGTACGTATATCGTGTTTGCGAGTGAGACACGTGATAAGAATTACTATTTAATATGAATTTTTTTTTTTTGGATTTTCCGATTTTAATTGATTTTCATTGAAAATATAAGAAATATTGAGAAATATTAGAAAAAAAAGAAATATATGATATAAAATTTCTTTGATGTGATACAATAATACTTTCAAATAATTTGAAAGAAAATTAATTAAGGAATTATGAAATTTGAAAATAATCATTACAATGGAATGCAGCATAATTTATATATTAACTCGTGGACAATTTCTCATTTAAAATCAATTTAAAAAAAATTATACTTTTTCTTTCTTTTTTTTAAAAAAATTGTGATAATTTTTGTAACAAAGTATTATGTAAAATGTATCATGATGAAATAAACATAAAATAATCTTACTTATCTTGTATCTAATTCATTAAAAATAAATTCATCAAATTGTTGAGATTCTTTAATTTTCAAATCATTAAAGAATCTTGTCAACGTATGGAAAACACGTATAATTATTAATAAATAAATAAGTAAATAAATAAATAAGCCCATGGCAATGTATTAAATTAATTATAAAATTAGATTAATACTTCATATATATATCTTATATGTGTGCTTTTTTGAGTACACTTGTATTTATACAAATATATTGACATAAAATATATTTATTAGAAATCAAGAAATTAACGATTTTAATTTATTTTTAAATGAGAAATAGATCCATTTTTAATATGATTATAAATTATACAGAATTCCATGAATACTTAATTAATTGAAAAAAATTTTAAATAATTTTTATGATCATACACAAGATAAGAGCAACAAATGTTCTTATAAATTTCCGTTTCTGGTTGCTATCTACGTGTAAAATAGATTATGGTTCAAGGACATAGCGTGAAGTTTCGATTTTTTTTAAAATAATCGATACAATTTTTAATTTATGCTACTTATGTACGAATTCAGAATTGAACAATTCAATATTATGTATCAATTCTTATTTTTCAAATAATTCTAAAGTGATCTTCGATTCTTTTTTGTTTTTTAAGCTTTTCTTCTTAATTTTTTTCCTTACATTTTCTTTTTTTTTTTCTTTTCAAATTCTTTTAAAAGTTGTTTCTTCACGCTACGCTTTTTTGAGACGTAGAATTGCTTTAGGTGATCATCAACAATGACGACAACAATATCTAAACATAGCTAAACATCGAAGAACATCGAATTGTTGTTGTTTTATAATTTTTTTTTTATTCTTTTTCATTTTGTTAATACGTGTTCAATCCCTGCGGTCAGTCTGAATCTAATTGACAATGTGTATACCAGAAAAGTTTTCTTTGTTTCTAGCAAAACTTATTGCCTTCATCATCCATTGTATTTACTTTGCATCATTCTTCGTTTGTTTGTTTTTAAAATTGTTGTTGTTATTTCTCTTTCGTTTACTTCACTAAAC